GAGGAACAACATGTGAATAAATTCTGCAAGAAGCTTCATTTGAATAATTCCTTTAATCTGAGAGAAGTCAGTGAAGTAATGATGGTGTCCACGTTCAGCTATTTCCCTCTACTGTGTTCATTTCTATCAGAGTTTCTAACTCTTTCCCGATTTCTGCTTCTTACCCTCTTGCCCTTGTCTCATTCTTTGCTCCAGTCTCCTCTCTCCCTGCTCGTGCTCCTGTGTCTCTCCTTACCTCTCTCTTTCTCATCTCTCCGTCACCGAGGACTCCTGCTCCGTTCTCTCCTCCTCTCCCTACTCCTGCATCTCTCCTTACCTCCCTCTTTCTCATCTCTCGGTCACCGAGGGCTCCTGCTCCGTTCTCTCCTCCTCTCCCTACTCCTGCATCTCTCCTTACCTCCCTCTTTCTCATCTCTCGGTCACCGAGGGCTCCTGCTCCGTTCTCTCCTCCTGCTCCTGTATCTCTCCTTCTCATCTCTCTGTCACCGAGGGCTCCTGCGTCTATCTCTACCTCCCTCTTCGTCGTCTCTCCATCTCTCTCTGCTGTGCTTGTCTGGTGACCTCTGAACTCTGTGCTCATTGTGTTTTGAATGTGCGTGTTTGGAGTCTTTCTTGCGCTCTCTCTCAGAGCTGCTGTCACTGGACGAGTCTCTCCTTCTCTTGCTCTTCTTCTTGGCTTTCTTTCCGGCATGTTTCTCATCCTCAGAGAGATGCTGTCTGATGAGCTGCTGGATGAACTCGCACTCTTAACTGGTTTCTTTTTCTGCTTCTTTTTCTTTTCAAGACGGTCAAATTTTCTAAAAAAAAAAGGGGATGACAGTTATCAGACAGCAGATTAATTGGTCATTGTTACAGTATATTGTGAACATTTTCCGTTTGTTTTTGTGTGCATTTTATATTTTATAATTATATGGTGTGTTTATATACACTGGTGTTTAAACGTTCTATTCTATATAATTGCTGTTCTTATGAACTTTCCATTCATCAACGAATCCTGAAACAAATGCATCATGGTTCCCACAAAAATATTAAGCTGCACAACTGTTTTCAACATTAATAATAATAAGATTAAATGTTTCTTGAGCAGCATATTATTATGATTTCTGAAGGATCATGTGACACTGAAGACTGGAGTAATGGCTGATTACATTTTAAAATATATTACAATAGAAAACAGTTATTTCAAATTAAAATAAATAAAAGTAATACAATTTCATAATATTGCTGTATTTACTATCTTTTTGACCAACTAAATACAGCCTTGGTGAGCATAAGAGAATTCTTTCTAAAACATTTTTAAAAATCTTTCCAACCCCAATCATTTAAACAGTAGTATATAGTGTGTATATTATATAACCAATGTACATTTTGGGCCTTGTTTACTTTTTTAATTGTGGTTAATAAATTATTGCAACACAAATGGAAGGCTAATGCCACTATTTATGCTAAACAGCTACTTGCTTGAACTAAAACTAGTTTATAAAGACTTTAAAAAATGACAGATATTCTATTTTTCAATCTCAAAAAAAGAAAATAAATTAAAATAAATAGTTAGGTGACACTAATAATATTACTTTTTTTTCCCTTTTCATTTCATTTGATTGGTAACACTGCATTTTGAGGTCCAATACTCACTATTAACTAGTTGCTTATTAGCATGCCTATTACGAGCATATTGGCTAATTATTAGTACATAGTAATGCCTTATTTTAGATTCCTTAATCCTACCACACCTAAACTTAAAAACTACCTTACCAACTATTAATAAGCAGCAAATTAAGAGTTTGAGGCAAAAGTCATAGTTAATAGTTAATAATGAAATTAAAGTGTGACCATTTTATTTATACCACTTTATATGAATAGTAATTAGACATCAATGTGATTATTATAAAGACCGCTGGTTGTGTATGTGTAATAAATAATCACACCTAAGCAGTTTCTGCTTTTTTTCGGTGGTCAGAGACTTCAGGAACTCCACCTCAGGGTCGTCTTCCTCACTGGCCACAAGCTCCTGAAGCACAAACACGCACATTAACACGGTTGTGTAGAAGCACAGTGTGAAATCCAGCATGTCTCTGCTCTTTTGCAATTGTAGTTGTTGGTCTAATCAGTTCTAGTTTCTAGGGAATCGCTCGTCAGCCGTCGGTTCAATAACTGGATGTTTTTCTGCAATCCCACGCTGAGCTCCAGCCATGGATATCATGGGTCATATTTGGGCAGGGGCCAGGAGATTACCTGTGCTGGATCACTCATGGTGCTGTCCCTCCCAAGGACACATTTCTTCAGCGCAAACCCACTGTTTCGCATCTCTGCCATTAACTCGGAGGGGTGCATTGACGGACCTGTTAGGACAAATCACTCTTTCAGAACAAATAATGTGTGATCATGCCAGAGAGACGTACACTAGCGGCTTTGTTAACACAAACACACACCAAATCAACTCCCTTGTCTTCCAGCTGGGTCAGGCGTACAGTATTATTCTGCTGAAGCACAGGTTTCAACCAATCAAAACACTAAATAATAACATTTCCCCACCAACACAAGAGTAGTATCCATCTGCACTCTGCTACAACTAGGGATGCACGATATATCGGCCACCATATCGGTATCG